AAAATTAGAAAGTATAGGGGATTAAACCCAGCACCTCCTACATCCCAAGTAAGCACTCTATCACTGAGCGACACTCCCAGCTCTTTTTATTTTATATTTTGAGACAAGGGGCTATTTTTAAAGCACAGTATCATTAAGTTGTCCAGGCTATTTTCCACTGTAGTTTTGTTTTGTGGTTTTTTGTTTTTTTTTGAGACAGGATCTCACTATGTAGTTCAAGGTGGCCTTGAACTCACTATGTAGCCCAATTCTCCTGCCTCAGGCTTCCGAGTACTGGGATTACAGGCATGTGGCACCATGCCTGGGTCTCTTCTCCAATTTGGAATCCTTCTTTTTCAGCATCCTGAACAGCTGGAATTACAGGCATGCACCACCACACCCAGCTTGTTAAAATTCTTTTCATATATGCAATATGTACATTGCATTATATAAGATATAGATCTATAATACATTACATATATTATATATTATATCATATATGCTTATATATATTTTTTGAGTCAGGTTTTGTTATGTAGATCTGGCTGGCCTTGAACTCACTATGTAGCCCAGGCTGGGCTCCAATTTGCCATGATATTCCTGTCTCAGCCTCCCTAGTGCTGGGATTACACAGACATGTACCATCACACCCAGCCTACATACTTTATATACGTCTGTGCGTATGTGTGAGTGCGTGCCTGTGCATATAGGTATATGTATTTTATCTATTTGCCAAATCTGCTAGTCCTTCCCCATATCTCCAGCTACACATTCAGTTAACATTCCTTATCTGTACAAGGGAAATCAAAACAGTACTTGCATGATAATCCTGTGAAGTGAAACAATGTGTGTAAGTTGTTTAGGGGAGGGTGGCATAAAAGTATTGAATAAATTTATTCTCACCTTGTAGGAAGTAGACGAAGGGATGGTTCTCCAGCGGTTTTGCTGCTGTTATTCCCCTCCGCGCCACAAGGAGCGCTGACGCTTACAGGCTGCCAGGCCTGAAGTCAAACTGGCGGAAGTCCGTCTAGCCGCGGCCACGCCATCTCCTAACAGTGTCGCCTCACTCCGCGAATGTCTCTGCTTCATACGGTCACGTAGGTAAATCCGCTTGCAGCGACACCCAGTCCTTTCCCTCTTTTCGCTCACTCTTAAGTAGGCTATGTTTCCCGAGGGCGCGTCTTAATCTCTTAGGACTAATAAAAGCAGCGGCGTCCAGATACACGCCTCGCCTCGTGACCTTAAAGGTACACTTCCGGGACAGGAAGTGACGCGACGTCCCGCTCTGTCCCGCCCTCTTTTTCCGGTGGCCTAGTCTGGAGACGACCTGCAGGTACGCGACCCTGTGGCCGACAATCTTGCGGCATCCTTTGCCTGGGGGACCCTCGCGGGGCTGAGGATGTGAGATCGGGGGTCTTTCTGGCTGAGCTAAATTTTGGGCGAGAGTCGTGCGGCCGGCTGGCCCGGATCACGGTCAGTTCGGGGTCAAGTTTGCGCCTGGTCTCCGCAGGCGACTGTCCGGTTTCGGGCGGAAGCGTATGAAGTCGGAGTGAGTGCTGGTCCAGGCCTTCAGGCCTTAATCCCGCACTACGGCCTCCGGTCTCACCTCAACCCCGCCGGCTTCTGCCTGGGCGATCGAAGGCCTGCCGGAAGACAGGAAGAAGAGCAGTGCCGTTTCCGTGGGGTAGTAGTGCGGGTTCGAGGAGATATTCGGGGACAGACAGCTGGCCCTCTGTGGATGCTCCCGAGTCAGGGTGATCCTTGTTGCGGACGAGGGCACGTTGCATGTTCTGCACGCGCAAGGCCGGCTTCTTAGGCCAGAAGTCGATGGTAGGGGCTGCATATAGGAGTTTGCCGGGTGCCCCTCTCTGTACCGCCAGTGAGCGTTCCCATCATCACTTGGTGACACCTCGCCGGAACTTGTATTAACTGAGACCTACTGGTGCCTTCCTAGGCTGTTCCAGACAGAGAACCTGGGCAGCTTCATTACAGCACCTCCGCCCTGGGTCATGCCCATTATCCTGATGTCAGGACGCCCAGGCCCTGCGCTGGTAGTGCTTATTGTGGTCAGATGCCAGCGTGTGAGGAAGGCACGGGGAGCTCCAGAACTCGCGGATTCTGAGACTCGCGACTCGGGGCGAGGGTGGCAGCATCCTGCTATGTGCGCAGAGTGCAGTGCTGCAGTGGTTTTGTGTCTGTAGTATGATCCCAGGCACACCTTCCTAATTTTCTCTGCCCCATCTGTGGGAATAAACTGATTTCATTTGAATCATTCTTTTGAAAACTTTAGGAAATTGGTCTGGTACTCACACCTCTAGATGGTTAGAAGAACTGGGGCTCCGGGCGGGAGGCAGCCGTCCTACCTTCTGTGTTTTCCTTCTCCCCTTCTTAACAACGTGCCTTTTTCCTAGGTCATAACGGTGTGGTGGTACTTGCTTTATAGGTCATAGCAGCCTATTGGGTCTTCTGGGATGGATCTTGTCCATCAGACACACTGGAAGACAGGGTTTAGTGCATGCCATAGTTGGTGCTATGAAAAGTTTAGGGGTTTGATTCCAAACAGTAGTGGGAAGGTGTCGAGAGAGGAATTGATGGGGGCCGGGAAGAGCGTTTAGATAGGCTTTGGGAGGGAACTGGTGGGGCAAGGACGTGGGTAATGAGGCCAGCGGGCTGTGCTGGTGAGGGACTCTAAGCTGAAGAGTAGGTGTAGGATTGAGGCAGACACACACACACACACACATACACACGTGAATTGTCCTGAGACTACACACACACAGACACACGTGAATTGTCCTGAGACTACCATTCATGGGTAGGTATTGACCCTGACCCTGGACTATAGTCTTTAAGGTTTCTTTGAGCCTAACCTGTAAATGGGATCTGGGACTTATGCCTGTAATCCCAGCATTTGAGGCTTAGGCAGGAGGATCACAGTGGGTTCAAGGCCAGCCTGAACTGCATAGCAAAACCCTGTCTCAAAAAGACCCAAAGGCGGGTGGATCTGGGACTAGGAGATCCAGAAGTTCTAATGTTGGAAGTAATTTGTGTGGACTGAGAACCCTTCACCTGGTTTTGATCTCTGCTCTGCCCTTTACCTGCTGTGTTACACTGGACAAACTAAAAATGTTTTAGCTTATATATTGGAAAGAGTAAAGGTCAGAAGAAAGAATTTTTCATTTGTGGTACTGGAAGTTGAACCCAGGGCCTTGGCACTGAGCTACATCCCCAGCCCTTTTTTTTTTTTTTAGGTTTTTTTTCCTGTACCAGCAATCAAACTCACGACCTTGCCCTAGCTAGGCAGGCGCTGTGCCGCTCAGCTAAATCCCCAGCCCCTCCCACCCCTTTTTTTGAGACAAGGTCTCGCTATGAACTTCAGACTGGGCTTGAACCCACCATGTAGCCCAGGCTGGCCTCAAACTTGTGGCCATCTCCTGCCTCAGCATATCACAGTGCTGGGATTACAGGTGTGTACCAATGCCTGACAAGAGAAAAAGAACTGATTTGCCCAGTTTTGAGAAAGTGCCAGTTGTGTTCCGGTCTCCAGGGACCTAAGCCAGTAGGTTGTCTGCATTTTGGAGACCCACTATGTGAAAGTGAGGGATGCTTGTGATCTGTTGTTAGAACCTTAGGCTACAGGTGTGGTCAGCTGTGTTTTTTCGCTGTTGCTGGTCGTTTGCTTTTTAGTCAGCAGTTGGCATCCCCCGAGTTGCATGGGCGTTAGTGGGGCAGAGGTGAGGAAGTATGGGTGTAGAAGGAGGTAGGGACACAGGAGCAAAACAGTTTCTGGTATTTGTTTATGGTACTCCGGATCGAATACAGAGCCTTTGCACTAAGCCACATCTCCAGCGGTTTTTTTGTTTGTTTTTGAGACAGGATCTGGCTGTGTAGTTGAAGCTGGCCTCACTTGCCCACGATCCTCCTGCCTCAGCGTCCATGTCCAACTCTAGCTCATTTATATTTTAAGAAAGTTTAGCTAAGTTGCCAGGCTGAGGTTCAAATTCATGATCATAGCTCAACTTCCCAGAGTGCTAGGATTTCAAGTATGTGCCACTGTGCCTGGTTAAAACAAGGCCTCTTCAGTAGCTAAGGAAGGAGGGTTCTGGAAACTTTGTCCCTTGCTAACATCGGCGTTCTTGTCCTTCTACTCAGAAATGGCACCTCGCAAGGGGAAGGAAAAGAAGGAAGAACAGGTCATCAGCCTTGGGCCTCAGGTGGCTGAAGGAGAGAATGTATTTGGTGTCTGTCACATCTTTGCATCCTTCAATGATACTTTCGTCCATGTCACTGATCTTTCTGGCAAGTGAGTACCTGAGTGGGGAGGCACAAAACCTAGCTGACAGGCTGAAGGAAGAAGTGACCTGGGGCTCAGGTCCCTACAGTTAGGCGTTCTCAGTAAATAGCAGTTACTGTTTTGTCCAGGGAAAGAAACGCGCTTGCTTATTTTGCTCACAAGTAATACAACTTCCCTGGTGGTGTCGCTGTAGCCTTACAGTGTGATTGTCACTGAGTCCTTGATGTCAGTACTCTGGCTGCAGTGCTAGACTGGAAGTCAGCCCCAGGTGCAGCCTCTGACTGCCATTAGCAAGTTTTGTGACTTGTGTGAGGTCACTGCACTTTTGCATTTTGGTTTCCCATGTGTAAAGTGAGGGTCACAGCATGTACCTTGTAGAGTAATCGTGAGGGGTCAGTGTCCAAGTAAAAGGTTCGAGTGTGGAGCTGACAGTGAGCTGAGCCCTTAGAAGCAGCGTTCACAGCTGTCTTGCCAAGGTCAGGGTTTGTGCTCAAGTTGACCGTTCTCTGTCCTGTGTGCCCTGCCGCTGAGTCCCTTTGGGGGACTGTGCTTCTGTCCCCAGAGAAACCATCTGTCGCGTGACTGGTGGGATGAAGGTGAAGGCTGATCGAGATGAATCCTCCCCATACGCCGCCATGTTGGCTGCCCAGGATGTGGCGCAGAGGTGCAAGGAGTTGGGCATCACCGCCCTGCATATCAAACTCCGGGCCACAGGAGGAAACAGGTACGGAGGCTGGGACTGGGTGGTGGCAAGACGAGTGGCCTTGGGTGCCAGAACACTGGGCTTTGAGCCTTGATTTTGTCTTGTGACCTAGAGCAAGATATTTCAGGCATATAAAGTAAAATAATTGGTTCCTGCATGTATCCCTACTGATACAGTGTTCCAGGTACTAAGAGTGATGGGGAAAAGCAGCTATGGTCTCTGCCCTCCTTGTGTGGCACGTAGGCTGGCAGAGACACTTAAACAGTGTAAAGCAGCATGGTATCTGGTTTCCACTTGTAGCTGCTGGGAAGCAGAAGTATGGATTTGGTGACGCAGTGTAATTGAAGTTTAGGACTAGCGCTGTAGCTCAGGGACAACACTTAGCTGGCAGGCACAAGCTCTAGGCTCCATCCCCAGCGCCGCAGAAAAACAAAGGCCCACAGGATCAGCCAGGGGGCCTCCCTGTGAGGGAGCAGAGGGGAGTACTCCCGCCAGGGACAGCTGCAAAGAGCATTTTTGGAGGTCAGAATGAACGTGAGCACCTGTGAGGGAAAAGAGTGGCATGGGGCGATCCAGGGAGCCTTTCTGCATGTGGAGCAGAGCAAGAACCTGGGTGCTGGTTTGGGCACAGACACTAGAAGCGGTGACGGCTGGGTGGGAAGCAGACCGCACGGAGGTGGAGGCGTCTTGGATGGAGTCGCTGGAAAGACAACCTGTTTACACCGTGTGCTGCGGGGAACGGGCTTAGCCAGGCTGCAGACGGAAGTTTGCAGATTCTCAGCTAGAGAAGCATGGGCTCTTAGAAGGACTCTCATCGACGTGGCTAACGTAACCCGTCATTTCCTAGGACCAAGACCCCTGGGCCTGGTGCACAGTCAGCCCTCAGAGCGCTTGCCCGCTCGGGAATGAAGATCGGGAGGATTGGTAAGCACACCCCTGTAGCTTAGCTGACACGTTGATTAACTGATTTTGAGGCGTTGACCCCAAAACCATGTGCTGTGCCCCATGGGTAGAGGGCCTGGTCTAGTCACTGTTGGCAGTGAGGTTTGTTAAAGAAACTATGAGACTTAAAATCTCTCCCGGCATGTCTCATCCCTCCCAGAGCTGCTCGGGGGCATTGCCAGGATATCTGTGGGTCACCTTCACAGTAAAGTGCTGGTCTCTGCACACCAGATACCAAGACGCGCCACTCTGTGACAAGCGGAGGGGAAGGGGTGCGCAGGGACTCCTCACCTGTGTGACCAGGCCCTTCCAGCTCCTCAGGGAGGCCTTAGGTCTTCCTGGTTGTTTCTGTGCAGTTAGTAGCAAGGCGTACTAGCCTCTCGGTCTAAAGTTTTAACATGTCCTTTTCTGAAGATGGGGTATTTTCTGACTGCTTTTACCCTCCTCTTAGCACTGGTAGGGTTTTCCCAGTGTAGTCAGTGGCCTCTGAAGCCCATGTGCTCTCAGCCTTTTTACCCTTCTGGGGAGTGAATTGAGACCTTGGGAAATTTTGAGGAGCTGCAGGCAATGATGTTTTCCCTTCCTCCTCACAGAGGATGTCACTCCCATCCCCTCCGACAGCACCCGCAGGAAGGGAGGTCGTCGTGGTCGCCGTCTGTGAACAAGACTCAAGTTGCTTTCTGTTAATAAATTACCTTTGTGTAAGCTACTTTGGCGGTACTCTTTCCTTGTGGGGCAGGGGCCCCCCGGGGGTATTTGTTCTTCCTCCTGTCTAGATGTGCAGGAGGCATGGGCTGACAACAGCAGTGTGCTGCTTTAGATGTGTGGGGGAGCCAGGTGTGGTGGCGCACGCCTGTAATCCCAGCACTCTGGGAGGCTGAGGTGGGAGGGTCGTTGCAGGTTTGAGACCAGCCTGGGCTACAAAGTGAGCTTAAGGCCAGCCTGAACTGCATAGCGAGACCCTGTCTCCAAAAAAAAAAAAAGACAGATATGAGGACCTGTATTGTGGGAACATGGGTGGGACAGGCTCACCTGGGCTCTGCAGGTGGCTGGGGTGTTAAGTCGCCTCAGTAGTCTAAAACAGAGCAAGGTCTTAAGAGATCCTGTCTGAAAGTAGGGACGTTGGTTCTAAAAGTGGACTGGTTTGTAAAGAGCCAGAGTGGAGTGGGAACTGTGGATCCAAGTGTAGCCCGAGCAGAAGAGGAGCTCCAGACCTGAGCCAAATATAAGCCTGTGTGGGCGTGTCCCCCCCACACCTTCTGTGCCGAGCGGGCAGCTCCCTCGCTTGCAGCTTGCTTGTCTTCGCTTGGCAGATCTTGAGGTTGTTCCACATCGGTACATAAAGTACATCAGATTCAGTCACCCCACAAATCCACACCAAGTCCTATTTTCATCAGCCACGAAGAAGATAAAGTTACTGCTTTCCGGAAGCTTGCATCCAGCTCCAAGGATGGGCACCAGATGGTGCCGGTGCTCCACGACAGGTTGCTGCAGTACCTTGTGGCTAGGAGAGACAGGGCTGGTAGATGGGGGAGCGGGGGAACCCCAGGAAAGGAAGGGGGGACTGCCCTGGGCTGAGGAAGGTGGAGGGTGGTGAGAATACAGGGTGGTAGTAAGTTCTAGAAGAAAGAAAGCAAGAGGGAAAAGCTCTTGTTTGGCTTGGTTTGGAGTTTGTTTATTTTTGTATTGGGAATTGAGCCCAAGGCCTTTGCACTGAATAAGCCACATTTTCAGCCCTTCATTTTATTTCTGTTTGCCGGGGGGCAGGGTATTGGTTAGTTTCCCAGGCTGGGCTCAAAGATTCTCCTGCCTCTGCCTGCCTACGTGCTGACGTGACAGGTGTGTGCCGACCTGCCAGGCTGGGGTGATAGTGCTTTGGGATGCTGCAAGGCGAAAACTGTGGCCTGTTCTGAACAGTGAATAAGCAGATGGAAACGGTGAGGAAGGAGTGGGTTAGCATACTAAAGCAGCCCAGGCTGTGTGCCACCCCATGTTTTAATCACCCACTGATTTTACTTTTTTTTTTTCCGGTACTGGGGATCGAACTCATGACCTTGCGCTTGCTGGGCAGGTGCTGTGCCACTGAGCTAAACCCTCAGCCCCTTTAATCACCCATTGAATGGTGGCTTTTTAAATTTTGTTTTGTTTTTGCACAGGGTCTTGCTGTATAGTCCAGGCTGGCCTTGTTCACTGTGTGGCCCAGGCTGGCCTCAAGCTTACAGTGATCCCCCTGCCTCAGCCTCCCAAGTGCTAGGATTACAGGTGTGCACCGCCATGCCCAGCTCACCCATCGAATGTTGAACCTGATGGAGAAGATGTTGCCATCCCTGAAATACAGCTAAGAAAACCGGTGTGGACAGAGAGCTGCACTTTGTAATTTTTATTTCTTTTTACAAAAAAATGTGGGAGAATACAACTTAAAGACACTCCCTGGACTGCACGTTTTAAATTGCAGCTTTATTTCCATCCTGTGCAGTTTGGTGGTTTTGAGACCTTCCCCACCACCACTGAAACACAAGCCCCTTAGTGATCTGTTTGGGGAACCTTTCATCTAGGTTTGTCTGTTGTAGGGCATTTATATGATTTGCCACCATTCAATGGGTGATTATTTGTGGTCTTTCCTGCCTCAGCTTCCTCAGGTGCTGGGCTCAAGGTATGCACCACCACACTCACTGGGCAATGAACAGGTTTTTTTTTTTAAGCTAGGTGTAGCAGCACACGCCTGTAATCCCAGCACTCTGGGGAGGCTGAGGCAGGAGTATTGCCATGAGTTCAAGGCCAGCCTGTGCTACATAGTGAAACACCGCTTTAGCGGGGGGGAAAAGTTGGATTTTAACAATAGTGAGAAGGGTTATAAGTCTTCATAAAAATTCCAAGCACTATAGGTAGATGTTCCTCTGTGCTAAGTGGAAACCTCACGCATGGTGGGCTGGCTGAACCTGGTGACTCACTTTGCAAAGGATAGAGTCTGAGAGAGGGAAAATAGTAACTGCCCGGAACAGCATGGCCTGTGCTAACCCAGCCAAGTAAGGCTCCAACCACTTGGGAGCCCAGGTCTGTAGCAACCCTGTGGCTTATATGTGGGGTATTCTTCCAATCAGAAGACACTGTAGGGCATACTCCTGAGAACTGTCAAAAAGACAAAAATACTGTCCTCCATCATAAAAATGAAAGAATAAGGCAGAAGAGGTTACAGAGGTGCCGGGGTTGGTTTCTTTTGATAAGTGCATCTCAGTCATGTAAGGTGGTTGCAGTAGGGAGACTGCGTGCGTGGCACATGGCAATGCTGTCTTTGCAACTTTTTGCTTAAGTCTAAAATTACTCAAAGCCAGGCATGGTGGTGCACGCCTGAGATCCCCACAGTTGGCAGGAGGATCACAAGTTTGAAGGCAGCTTGGGCTACATAGTGAGACCCTGTCACAGAAGACAAAGTGAAATCAGTTCTTTTAGAACCGAATTCCTGGGAGGGAGGGTAAGGGTTGCTTTGCACACCACCAGTCTGGCAGGATGGGTGCGCAGGCTGTCAAAATGACGTGCCTGGGTCAAAATCCTAGTTCTGAAGCTGTGGACTGGGAGACCTTAAGCAAGACTCTTCGGCCAAGCCATTTAGTGAAAAGGCCTGCAATGATGGCTGCCTTATAGTACCCTGAAGAAGCTGCTGTTTTTATTTATTTTTTTATTACTATTTGGAGGATATTGAGACAAAAGTTTTACTATGTAGCCCAGGCTGGCCTCCTGCCTCAGCCTCTTCACGCTGGGGATCACAGGCTTGTGTCACCATGCCTGGCGGCAGCTATTCTCAAACCCTCTGCCAGGCAGCGTGAAGGCCAGGTGGGGAAATGCAGAGGCTGTGGAGCATGCTTGTTATTTCCTGTGCCAGGTGTGGTGACTTGTACTGCCGTTCCCTGCTAACCAGGGATGTAATCACCCAGGTCCTTTCAGGGTTTTGTTTGCGAGGAAAGCCACGCTGGTGGAGCCGAGCAGCCTGTGGCCCCTGAGGCAGCCGGGACCTTGGACACCCGGCACTGGCAGATGAGCCTGGCACTGTCACCCTGCAGCCCCCCGGGCCCCAGTTCACCGCTCCCGCCTGGCTTCCTTCTCAGCTGAGCAGTAACGGTCTCCATCTGAACCAGTCTGCCTGGCTTCCCTCCAGCCCTGCCTGCCCCACCTCACACTGCAGCTGCGATCTAAACCAAGCTGCTGGCCAGAGATTTAGCCGTTTTAGACACCTGCCTAAGGGGAGTGGGGAACAGGGTGACGGCTGATCGCTGCTCCCTTCTGTTTAATCTCCGCTGCACCCTGTTGTGTTCAGTGCGGACTCAGTCTCTGGCCAGCCCGCCTCCTCACCGTGCGCCAGAAACAGCTCCTCTGCTCACTTTTACAGTTGCCCTTCCCTCGCTGCAGCCTCACCCAGGCTCCTCAGCTCGGCCTCGCTCTCTTCAGCCCAGTGTCAGATCCAGTTAGCTCTTCCTGCCTGCCTCGCAGGGCGCCCCTCCGCCAAATCCCTGTGGTGCCTCTGCCCGTGCAGCACCGCTGGCTGCCCTCTGAAGGAGCCTGTTTCACCTCTGTGGGCTCTGAGAGGACAGAGTAAGCCCCGGGCGACATCAGCCAGCCTAGTCTGCAAGCTGGAGGCCCAGTAAGGATTGCTGGATGAATCACTGGAAGAACGGATTGATGGACTTGACTTCCACCTCCTGTAGCTCAGTCAAGTGGGTATTTTGAAGGGCTTCTCTAGATCCTGAATAAATTAAGACAAAACTTGCATTCCAGCGCTCCAAAGAAGTGAAGGAAGTCCCTGGGCTGTGAAGAAAAGGGAAGGAATAAAAACATCAAAATGAAGTGGATTAGGCTGGAGGTGGTGGTACCTTGATTCCAGCACCCAAGTGGCTGAGGCAGGAGGATTGCCACGAGGCCAGCTTGAACCACACAGTGAGACCCTGTCTCAGAACACTAAAAAAAAAAAAGAAAAAAAAAAGTTGAAATGGATTACAAAAAAGAAAGGTGCAGATAAAGAATGTTGGGGCAGCCCTGAGCAAATACAGAGGTCAGCGGACAAGAGGTTAAACCTAGGCTGCCCCATGCCCTTCCCCAAACCCAAGGTAAGGGGACTGAACTCGACATTCACAGTAAGCCAGATGTACTCAAGACTTCCACCTGAGCTCTTGGCAGAAGCAAAAGCATATCTTCCCTGGGAAAGCTGTCTACAACTGAGGACCTTTGGTTTCCCAGATTAGATAAAATAAGCGCCCACAATAAAGAAGTCAAAGCAGTGTGGTGATTACCCATAATTCCAGTATTCTGGGAGGCTGAGGTGGGAGGAGCATAAATGCAAGCCCAACTGGGACACTTTAGTAACTTAACGAGGACCTGCCTCAAGGTAAATAAGGGCTAGGGATGTAGTTCAGTGCAAAGGCCCTGAACTGAATTCCCTGTACTAGGAAAAAAAAAAAAAAAAACACATGAAAATGAGGCACCTTGGGGCCGGATATAGCTCAGCGGCATAAGCGCCTGCCTGGCAAGTGCAAGGTCCTAAGTTTGATTCCCAGTACAGAAAAAAAAAAAAAATGAGGCAACAGAGCAAGAGACAACAGAAAGATAAAACATATCCCCAGACACTTTGGATATTAGAGTCAGCGTGTAACTAGATGAAATATTTGAAGAGATACATAATGGGAAAAAAAAAATAAAGGCAAAGGCTGTAGGTAATAATCAGGTATATTTTAAATGAATCCATGAAAATTCTCAGTCTCACTGCAGGATTGAGGAAGCCTCTCCCCAGGGGAGCATCATCAGTAACCTTAAATGGCCCAAGAGGATGTGTGAGTGACTCACACAGGTCAAGCGCCATCTTGAGGGAAGACGCAGGAGTCTTGCTGTGTGTTCTAAAGTAGTGTAGCCTTTGTTGGCCAGTGAGTAGAACTTGTAAAGAAACGACTTCAGCAACAAATATAGGAGTTTTCTAAATCAGGGATGGTGATCCATACCTGTAATCCCAGCACCCTGAGAGGCTGAGGCAGGACAATTACAAGTTCAAGCCCAGCTTGGGCAATTTAACAGTTTAGAGAGACCCTGTTTCAAAATAAAATAGAAAAAAAGGGCCATGGAGGTAGTTCATTGTGAAGGCCCTGGGTTCAGTCCCCAGCATTGCTAAACAGACAAACAAACTGGTTTTCTAATAGCTTCTCAAAGAGAGTGAAACTGCTTCAAGAGACAGTGACATTTCCATTACTGGAAGCCTACCTACATCAGAAGGCCGGTTAGACCATTCTATCCTCTGCTGTAATCAGGAGTCTCAACTTGCAGCTAGTGTATGGCTGATCAGAATAGGAGTGTAGTTCTCTGCCTCCCAGGCAGCTGGTGTGGCTGACAGCACTAAGAGGGACAGAGTTCTGAGTGTCAAGGCCGAGGAGAAGCCACACCTGCGCTCCTGTCCTCTAGAGACTGACCTTCCATCTCTGCGGGAGCCGCCACCTGATCAGACCTGTCTTCCCTGACCAGCACACCTGGCTCTCAGTATCCCTTGCCTCTGGCTACCCTCCTCAATCTGTCTATCCATTTCTTATACCACATGTGCAGCCCAGGCTCCGCCCAACATGTGTCTGTGCACAAGTCCAGGGCTTCCCGAGCATGAGCTCACATCAGATTTAGACTGCGGCCACCCCCACTGCCTCATCTGCCTCAGTCACTCTGGAAAGGAAGCTTTCAGGGTTACATTTCTTTCTCTCGCTCTCTCTCTCTCTCTCTCTTTCTTTCTTTCTTTCTTTCTTTCTTTCTTTCTTTCTTCCAACATGGTCTTGCTCTGTAGCTCAGGCTTGAACTCACTGTGTAGGCCCAAGCTGGCCTCAAACTCACCGCAGTCCTCCTTCCTGCTACCTCAGCCTCCCGTGCTGGGATTACAGGCCTGCACCACCACGCCCAGCACTATGTTTCTAATGTTTCTGGACAGTGAGTGTTGAAGGCCTGCAGACCTCCCTTTGAGGACCACTGACCTTGGTGATCATGGGACTCCTGTGTTTGGGCCACTGCTAGATCCCAGCGCCTGGAGAGGTACACACCCTGCTTGTGTCAGTATTTATTAGCTCAGATGACAGGTGTCTCATCAGTCAGAGACAAGCATGGCTGTTACCCACACTTTACATAGGGGGAACCTGAGGGTAAGAGAGCTTTACTCGTCGGGACACACAGATAAAAGGGGCAGGGCCGGGACTCATCCTGCTCAGACTGCTGAGTCAACACCCGGCTCGCCTGGCTGGCTGGGCCTCAGTGCAGTCATGCTGCCAGGAAGTCACAGAGGAGTTGAGGAAGAGGAAGGGTGTGGGGAGGAAGACCCTCCCCTCTCCTCCCATCTGGAGAAAATTAAAAAGAAGATAGTAGCCAGGCATGGTGGTGCATACCTATAATCGCAGTACTTGGGAGGTTGAGGCAAGATTGCAGGAAGTTTGAGGCCAGCCTGGGCTACGTGGAGAGTTCAAGGACAGCCTGAACTACATAGATACCCTGTCTCAAAAAACCACAAAGAGAAGGAGAGGAAGGAGGAGGAAGAGGTGGGCTAGGAGAGGGAGAAGGAAGAGGAGGAGGAGAAAGCAGAGTCCTGCCTCTGAAGAAAGCCCAGGTGCTGTGGGATTTGCATCAGTCATGTATCCACGACCACCAGGTGGCAGCACTGGCATAACGGAAGCTGCCTGCTGGGCTGATGCCTGAGGTCTAATTCTGTGAATTCTCCAAGAGATGGGAAGGGGATGGGGAGGAGAGAAAGGACAGGTAAAGGGACTAAGACGTGTTATACTGCAAACATGGACTAATAAAAGTGAAATTTTTGAGCTGGGCAATAATGGCACATACTGTAATCCCAGCCCTTGGGAGGCTGAGGCAGGAGGATTGCCACTAGTTGGACTACATAGCGAGTATCTGTCTCAAAAAAAACAAAGAAAAAAATTATAGTAGCCATATTAATACAATACAAAAGGTAGGCCAGGTGTGGTGGCTCACGCCTGTAATCCCAGCACTGGGGAGGCTGAGGCAGGAGGATAGCTGCGAGTTTGAGGCCAACCTAGGCTACAAAGTGAGCTCAAGGTGAGCCTGGACTGCATAGC